TTTTTTTTTTTTTTTTTTTTTTTTTTTGAGACAGAGTTTCACTCTGTTGCCCAGGCTGGAGTGCAGTGACACGATCTCGGATCATTGCAACCTCTGCCTCCTGGGTTCAAGTGATCCTCCTGCCCCTGCCTCTCAAGTAGCTGGGGTTACAGGCGCCCGCCACCACACCCAACGAATTTTTGTGTTTTTAGTAGACGGGGTTTTTTTTTTTTTTTTTGAGGCAAAGTTTCACTCTTGTTGCCCAGGCTGGAGTGCAGTGGCACGATCTCGGGTCACTGCAACCTCCGCCTCCCAGGTTCAAGTGATTCTCCTGCCTCAGCCTCCCGAGTAGCTGGGATTACAGACGTGCACCACCACACCTGGCTAATACTGTATTTTTAGTAGAGACAGAGTTTCTCCATGTTGATCAGGCTGGTCTCGAACTCCTGACCTCAGGTGATCCGCCCGCCTCGGCCTCCCAAAGTGCTGGGATTACAGGCGTGAGCCACCGTGCCCGGACTATTATGGGATGTTTAGCAGCATCCCTAGCCTCTACCCATGAGATGCTGATAGTGGTCTTCTTTCAATAATGGCCTTTTAAAAACCTGAATCTTGCTTTGGGGAATCTAGTCTAAGGAAATAATCCAAATAGGGATAAAGTTTTGTGCACAGAGAAGCCCCACACCCTTTATTTACAAAAGACTAGAGGGGAAATGGCCTCTCCTCACAGCAGGAGATGGTGGAAGATCCCGGCTGTACACTCAGTGAGATACTCCATCAGCATCCAACAGGTTTTTACAAAAAGTGTGATTCTTTGGATCTTGTTCACGATATGGAATTAAATTATAAAAATAAAAAACAGGCTTTACAGCTGCTGTATAGTTTGGGAATCAGCCGTCTGAGAAAAACGGCAGAGTAAAAACCCTGGGAGAAAATGCTTGGGAGTGTGGCCCCTGAGTGTGGTGGGTGGCAGGTGGCAGCAGTGCTGGGCTGCAAGTGTGCCTTCCACAAATGTAGGACTTGTGTGGTCATAGGGAGTTACCTTTCTCTCTTTTTCTTTCTTTCTTTTTTTTTTTTTTTTTTTTTGAGATGGAGTTTGTCTTGTTGCCCAGGCTAGAGTGCAATGGCACGATCTCAGCTCACTGCAACCTCTGCCTCCCGGTTCAAGCGATTCTCCTTCCTCAGCCTTCCAAGTAGCTGGATTTACAGGCAGGAGCCACCACGCCCGGCTAATTTTTTGTATTTTTAGTAGAGACAGGGTTTCACCATGTTGGCCAGGCTGGTCTCAAACTCCTGACCTCAGGTGATCTGCCCACCTTGACCTCCCAAAGTGCTGGGATTACAGGCGTGAGCCACCACGCCCGGCCGGGGAGTTTTAATACTTTATTTCAAACAGTATTAACTATTGTGAGTTCCCATCGTCCTTGGTTCTGTGGGGATCAAGGGCAGTGGATGTGGTGGGCAGGTGCTGCTGTCGGGCTGTTCCCTGGGGGGCTGCCTGCCCATCCTTTTTTTTTTTTTTTTTTTTGGTAGACAGGGTCTTGCTCTGTTGCCCAGGCTAGAGTACAGGAGCACGAGCACAGCTCACTGCAGTCTTGACCTTCGGGGCTCAGTCAGTCTTCCCACCTCAGCCTCCTGAGGAGCTGGGACCACAGGTACACACCACCATGACCAGCTAGTTTTTAAATTTTTTGTAGAGGTTGGGTCTCACTTTGTTGCCCAGGCTGATCTTGAATTCCTGGGTTCAAGCAATCCTCCCACCTTGGCCTCCTAAACTGCTGGGATTAATGCCCAGCTTTTTTTTTTTTTTTTTTTTTTTTGCCTCTTCTTGCTTTTTTCTTCTTTCTTTTTGGTCACAACTTTTTGAGGGCATGTGGAGAGGGAACAGGACTCTGTTCCCCACATCAGCATAGTGTAGGGGGGCATCGAGTCTCCCCATTTGTCCCTGGCGTGCCTGGGGCCGCTGCCTTCAGGTCTTCTGGATGTGGGAGGAAGACAAGTGATCATTCGAGAAGTATTTGAGCCGCTTCCTGTTCAGGGCCCTGGTGATGAGCAGGAGGAGAGGCCCAGAACGTTCCTGCTTCATGGAGATGATCTTATCGTGTAGCCCCTGTAAGCCGGGCCATGAGGCAGGTGCAGCTCCAGCTCCTGGTCTTGGGTGAGGACCCTGGGGCTCAGGGCGTGCCCTCTCAGGGTTACACAGCCAGGGTGTGGCCAGTCCCAGCAGGTCCTGGGCCTGTCCACTTTTTCATTTCCCCATCTGCTCCCCAGGCCTTAAAGAAAGACGAGGGCGTGCCCTGGACTGGGATGTTGGCCATCGTGCACTCTTATGTCACCCACAAGACAGGTGAGGCATCCTTAAGGAGTGGGAAAGGGTCCCTGCTCCCCTTCCTCCCCCACCCAGGCCTCTGGGCTCACCTTATCCTGTGGGAGGACGGGAAGGTCCATTCCCTTCCGGGCCAGAGCACTGAAAAGTGGGACCCTGGGACTGGTCCTGTGTCTGGGGCAAGTATGGCCAGGGGAGAGTGGCTCCAGGTCCTGTGCAGTTGACCACAGCCACTGGCTCCTTCAGGGGGATGACCTAGGCCTTGGTTCCATCCCTTCTGCCCCTCCCATTTACTCTACGGCCCAGCCACTCCTTACCTGCCCCTCTCTGGCGACCTGGCCTTCTCTTTTCTAGTCAAAGAAGAGGAGAAGCAGAAGCTGCTGGAACGAGGCAGTGAGCTGCAGAATGAGCACCAGCAGCTGGAGGAGCGGGACCGGAGGCTGGCGTCAGCAGTGCAGGTGTGCCCCGGGGCCTGGGGGAGGCTGACCTCAGTCCTGCAGGTGTGCCCCAGGTCTGGGGGACAGGCAGATGTGTCGTTAGAACCACAAGTGTAGATCCAGGCTGGCCTCAGCCCTGCAGGTGTGCACCGTGGCCTGGGGGACAGGCGGATGTGTCCTTAGAACCACAGGTGTAGATCCAGGCTGGCCTCCGTGCCGGTGTGCACCAGGGAATTCTTGGGGACAGGCAGATGTGTCCTTGGAGCCACAGGTGTAGGTTCAGGCTGCCTTCAGCAGTGCAGGTGTGCACCACACCTGCCTGGGGGGGCAGGTAGATGTGTCCTTAGAACCATAGGTGTAGATCCAAAGCTTCACTGTTCACCTATAAGGCCCAGGAAGAAGACAGAGTCACCAAGCATCCCCCAGCAAGCCAGTACGTGGAGAAGGCAGCGCTGTGACTCATTCAACAAATACTTATCAAGCGATTGATAGCACGCTGGCTGTGCCCCTGCTCAGGCCCCTTGGCAGGGCCCTGACTCTGAATCTATTTCCTCTTGTGTAAGGTGAACATAATTCCTCCTCCATAGGATGGAGATAGACAAGATAATGAAGATGATGGTTGTGCTGGTGATGATGATGGTGATGGCAGTCATGGGGATGGTGGTGATAGTGGTGATGGGAATATGATAGTGGTGGTTGTGGCGGTGATGATGGTGCTGATCACAGTGATGGTGATAGTGGTGATGTGATGATGGTGATAGTGATGGTGATATGGTGATGGTGATGGTGGTAATGATGATGGTGCTGATCACAGTGATGGTGGTGGTGCACAGTGATGGTGATGGTGGTGATGCAGATGACAGGTGATAGTGATGGTGATAAGGGTGATGGTGATGGTAATGATGAGTTGTGTTGACCACATAGATGGTGGTGGTGATGGTGGTGATGGTTGCAATGATGATATGGTGGTTGTGGTGGTGATGGTGGTGGATAGTGCTGATCACAGTGATGGCAGATAGTGGTGGTGATGGTGGTGGGGTGATGGTGATGGTGGTGATGGTGGTAATGATGATGGTGCTGATCATGAGCGCCGTGGTATGTAGACGGCGATGGTTGCTGTAATGATGGCGATCGGTGGCGGTGATGGATGGTGCCGGACCATTGTGAGTTAACAAGTGCTGATGATAATGCGATCATGGTGGCGATGGCGCTGATGCAGTTTAACCAGCGATGGTGGTAGGTGTGATGGTGATGGTGATGGTGATGTTATGGTTGTAATGATGATGGTGATGATGGTGGCTACGATGTGGATTCACGCCGTGCAGATGGTAGTGATGATAATGGTGATTGCGGCGATGGCGGTAGATAATCACGCTGGGTGGTGATGGTGGTGCATTTTGGCACATTAGTGTAATGATGATGGTGTGGTAGATGGCGGCGGTAAATGATAATGGTGGAGGTGGTGGTGATAATAGTGTTGGTGGTGATGGTGGTGATGATGGTGATGGTGATGGTTGTAATGATGATGGTGGTGATGGTGGCGATGATGCAGACCACAGTGATGGTGATGGTGGTGATGATAATGGTGATTATGGTGGTAGTGCTGATGGTGCTGATCACGGTGGTGGTGGTGATAATGGTGATCATGGTGATGGTGATGATAGTGGTGGTGATGATGTGTTAGAGGATGGTGATGGTAATGGGCCCTGGGGAAGCTCTTTAACTGCAGTGTCTCATTTAATCCTCTCCATAACGCTATGAAGAGGCTTTGTGATTGTCCCTATAATCATTTTAGAAACCATCTTGGGGAGGTTATTTGCCCAAGCAGTATTTGACCCAGAGCAGATGGATGTGGGACTCTAGGCATCAGTCCTTACTGCTTTTCCTTGTGGTGGTGGTATGTAGTGAGACTGGAAAAGACCACACAGCACAGCAGGCAAGAGAAAGAGCAGAAAGGCGGCAGGGAAGCGAAAGGTCTCTGAGGCTGCTGCAGGTTGGCCAGCAGGAGGAGGAGGAAGAGTGTGGGCAGCTAGCGAGGAGGAGGAGGTCACATCACAGCCATGGGGAGGACGTTCCCAGGCAGAGGCACACTTTTTCTAGCCCTAAGTTCCAAAACAAGCATTGTCTCCTGTGGGTCTGACTGCTCTTTAATTGCATTTGTACCATTGCCTGGCTTTTGTGAAGCCCTCAGCCGGGTTTCTTGCAGGCCTTTGCAGTGGAGGGGAGAGGGGCCCAGACGGTGGCTGCCCCAGGATGGCTGTAGAGCCGAATGCTAAGACCCTTTCCCCTGACCTTCTGCCCCAACAGAAATGCCTGGAGTTGAAGACAAGCCTGCTGGCCCGCCAGAGGGGCACCCAGTCATCCCTGGACCGCCTGCGGGCCCTCCTGAGACTGATACAGGGCGAGCAGCTGCTCCAGGTCACCATGGCGACCACTAGCCCCGCCCCACTGCTGGCCGGGCCCTGGACCAAGCCCTCAGTGGCAGCCACACACCCCACCGTCCAGCACCCCCAGGGCCACAACTGACCCCAAGGGACCAGTCTTCACACCCACGGAAAGTTATCGGGACCCTGCTTACCCAGCCTGGGGGTTCTGTCGGCCTTAATTCATAAACACTATGAATTTCCGACAAAAATTAACCAGACAGAGGAGAGGAGGGAGAAAGAGCTGGGGGAGAGGCCTAGAGCCAAGACCAGGTGGGGGTGCGGCCCTGTGCCCTCCACACTCACAGGAGGTACCTAGGAGCCAGGTGGGAGTATGACAGGCTGTGGCACACAGCCCCACCCCTGGCCACCTCAGGGCTGCCTGGGCCTCCGGCTTCCAGGCCCTGCTCTCCACGGCCTCCCTCTGGCCCATTGGAGGGGCAGGCTGAGGCTGTGGAGGGGACAAGCGCACTGCCCAGCATGCAGTCCCGCTGAGGGCACCGCCTCTTGGTGTCCTGTGGGAGGGAAGCTGAGAACACACGGACTAGCTGAGTGGTAGAGGTAGTTGAGACGAGAAGCGGGGTAGCGGATCTAGGTAGTTTCCCGATGCCCCACACTCCTAGGAGGTCCACCTGGGGTGTGCGGGTGGGCCTGGGGCACCCCGTCGCCTTTGCAGAACTGCCCAGGCCCCTTTCTGTCAGTATTATTAGGGTTACGAATTGCAGCTGTTTAACTTGAAAGACATTGGCAGAGGCGAGCGTGTCTGGGTGCCGGGACGCTGCAGTGATCCCCGCCAGGGCCTCTGCTCTCCTGCTCCGTCTTTGGAGCCCTCGAGGCTGCCTCCTTCCTTTTGCCAATCTCTTGGACTCAGTTGCCGTTGGTGCATTTTTCTCATGGAATTTCTGGGCAGGGTGGATCTGCAGCCCTGTTGGGGACGGCGTTTGGCAGGTTTTCTCTTTGGGGTTGAATCATTCAACTTAATGACTGAGCCTTTTCTTGTCTTATTTGGAAGAGCCGATAAGTATTCCACTCCTCCCTTCTTGCCAGTGCAGACACTATGCCAAAAAATAACTTCACACTTTTGTATGGCGTTTTTATTGTGAGACATTTAATGTGAACGGTGGGGGGACTCTGGCTGACCTCCTTTTCTGCTTCTAGTAGTCTCTGCTTCAAGGTACAAATGGGAACACCTCCCCTCGGGAAGCCTGGCCAAGCTGGAAGATCCAGCGGGTTTTTTGAGAGCTGGGTGGAGGATTGGGGAGGAAAGAAAGGGCGGTGGCCTCAGGAGGTTCCGACCTTCGGGGACCAGACTTGCTGCCAAGGGCTTCTGCATCCAGGGTGGGCAGTGCCAGCTTGTCACCCTCGCCCGATTCCCACGTCCCGGTCCTGAGGGACTTAGCACAACAGGACAAGCGTCCAGGAGCCACGGGCTCCCACCCCGAGCATATCACATGGTGCCGAATTGCACTGAACACGCGTGTGTGCGTCGCATGCGGCCACGACCACAGACACGCACGCACACACGCAGAGGTGCAGAACGAGGAGGCCGGCAAATCCCGCAGCTGCCACGGTCCCTCCTGTCATTCTCACGACTCCGGGAGAAACTGTGCCGTATGATACAGATCTATTTTAATACACTTAACACTGGGTGAACAAGATTTTTATATTCTTTTATTGATGAACAAAGCGAACCGTGTGAGGCACACGTCTTCTATATTGGCTACTCTGTGCCAAGTATGCATTACCGCGTGGCTTGCGACGTCCATGTCTTCAGCTTCCTTTTCTGTTGGTTTGGTTTTCTTCGCGGATGGATTGAGTTAAATGTTTTAACAACGTCATGGGAGGATATGAAAGGTTGGACCCGGGAGGGGTAGCTGCCAATGTGTCTTGAGATTGTTAGTTTTTTTTTTTTGGACCGAGGAGGACCGTCCAGTGGGTAGTGAGGATAGAGAAAAAGTGTTTGTCTTAAATACACCAATGTAGTTTTCCTTCTTTACAATGCATTAAAGTCGATCGATGATTTCAAAGCCCTGTGGTTTTGGTGTCCTTGCCTTGCGGAGAGGCCCCTGGGAGTGCCCGGGGCAGCCAGGTGGGCATTGGAGAGGCTGGAAATCAGGGTCCTTTCCCACCCCGAAGAGGGAGGGATGGAGAGGGGGAAAGAGGAGAGAGCTCGGTGCCCTCCACTTGCTCAGCCCCATTCCCAGCCCTCAGAGGCGGCGGGTGACCGTTTAGGGCTAGGATTGAGGGTGGAAAGCCTCGGAAACGCAGCAGGCCTCTCACTGTGCGGAGCCCAAGGTGGTGCCCTCTGCTCCCTCTTGGGTTCCTGCCTCTCAGCCTGGCAGCATCGCCGCTGTCTCTCTCCCCCAGCAGTGGATACACGCGCTCCTGCAGCCACGCTGAGCTAACACCTGGCCCTACGGGACGTGGGGAATCAGCCCCCCTGAGTCCTAGCTCCTGGCATTGCACAGGGCGGGGCTCTGATTGACCCAGTGGGTCAGGGCTGACCCCTGGGCAGTCAGCTGTGGCCAGAGGCTGTTGTCTGATGCCAAAGTGGGGTCCGGTGATCCAGGGGACAGAGAGGTGGAGGGCGTGTGGGGCTGCCACATGGTCCCGCTTCATGGCTCACCCTGGGGAGAATAGTTTGGGGGGAGGGGAGCAGGTTTCAAGTTAACTCTGCCTGAGCCCTCCTGGGGGCCGCTCAAAAGACCACACTCAGCGTCCAAGGCCTCTTGGGTCCTTTTCAATCCGGCTCCCCACCCCTTTGCTCCTCTGGAACACCAGGTCGGTAGTGACCTCCCATGGCCAGATCCACGGGGTGCTCCCGGTCATCACCCAGACCTCTCGGAACCTGGGGACACATTGGCCACACCCCTGCCAAAGGAGGGTCCCGGGACCTCACTCCCGCTGGTGTGGCTGCTCCCGGGTCTCTGCTCCAGACTTGCTCCTCTTCTACCTAATCACTGAAGGCCCAGGCCCAGGTCTGTGCTCTGATCTCCTGCGGCCGGCCTCACCTGCCCCTGGCTTCTATCTGTACCCCCAGACTCCCTGCACAGCTGCGGCTGTCTCAAGCTCCACAGTCTCCACCAGGCCAGTCCCTCCACCTCCCCATCTCAGAGGAGCTTCAGGCTGCAGGGGCTGGCACCCTGGGAGTCACCCTTGGCTCTTCTCTCCCACCCTGCATACGTGGTCCTTGGCAAATCCATCAGCTCCGCCCTCAGGATGTAAGCAGGATGGGACAAGTCTCACTGCCCACCCCAACGTCACCTTGGTCCCAGCCCCATGATCTCCCCTGGGTTCCTGCAGCCGCCGCCCACCTGCTCTCTCCCTCGACCCGCTGCAGTCTCTTCTCAACCCAGCGACTAGTGTGATGGTGACACTGTTAAAACCCTGTCATCCGGGCGCCTGTAATCGCAGCTATTCAGGAGGCTCAGGCAGGAGAATTGTTTGAAACTGGAAGGCGGAGGTTGCAATGAGCCGAGATCGCATCACTGCGCTCCAGCCTGGGCGAAAGAGCGAAACTCCGTCTAAAAAACAAACCAACCAACCCCCCCTGCTGCCCTGCGTCTCGTTCAGCAAAAGCTAAAGGCCTCACCCTACTCACCTTACTTGTGCCTCCAGGGCCACAGGCCCCGCTTGCTCTGGCCTCTGGTTTATGCCCTGCTCCTCTCCTCCTTGCCTGCCTCCTCGCTTGCTCCCACCGTGGGACCTTTGCACATGCTGTGCCCTCTGCCCCAGCCATCTCCCTGGCCGGCTCCCTGAAGACCTGACCCTGAGCACCGCCCCCTCTCAGTGCTGCCTTCCCAGCCCCTTCCCCAGGACTCTGGCATTGCCTGTCCTTCTGCCTGCTGTTTGGTTCCTTGGGCTTCCACAGCCTGCCGTGTGCACCCCTGTAGGTTTTTGTCTGGCTGCTCAGGAAGACAGGGAGTTTGGTTGGTTTTCTTTCCGAACCCCAGCATCTAGAAGTGCCTGGCAAACAGTTGGCACCCAGCATAGACTTTGGAGAGACAGAGTGCCAGGCCTTGGGGCTGCGCCATCCTGGTTCCGGTCCCTCCCCTGGGAGTCCCTTACGCCACCCCAGCTGCCAGGTGAGGCTGGGCGGGCAGATGAGAAAACAGAGACCAGGAAAGCGATGGAATTGCCTGAGATCCTGCAGGTTCTGAGTGGGTGTGCCCGGACTCCACTCGATCCTTGTCCTCCAATCCCACGCGATTCCACCACAGCCTCACTCCCAGCCAGGGATGGGGCTCAGGGGCGGCTCCTGTGACCTCCAGCTCCCGGACCATGCAGGGGATTCCCTCCAAAGCACCCCTCACTGCCGTGCCCCTCTACTTCAGCAACAACGGCTCCCTCCCTCCCTCCCTCCCTCCCAGGGACAGCTCTGCCATTAGAAGGGGGCTCCCATGACGTGCAGACATCTGCCGCTCGTAGTTCAGCACACCCCACCCCACAGCACCCAGGGGACCCTGCGCTGGGGCAACCCTCAGTTTGGGATAGTGGTCACTCCAGAACCCCCACTCCCAGCTCCATCTGATACAGCCCCTGGAGAGCAGGGTGCCCAGCTCAGGGTGGGCTGGCTGTCCAGGGCAGGCCGTCAGCGTGGAAGGAAGCTTCTCTTTGGCAGATCCGAAGGGCCAGCATCCCTGCGCTGCTGCTTGGGGGCCATTGTTAAGTAGGGGACGAGGGTTGCTTGAGCACAAACAGGGACACTGCGATGGCCGAGCTGATCAACGAGACGGTGGCCAAGTGACTCATGAGCAGGTAGCTGGACGGAGGGACGCTTCCTATCCAGGGTGGGACCCTGCTTATGAATTGTTTATTTCTGGAATTTTCCATTTAATATTTTTGGACTATAGTTGACCATGAATAACTGAAACTGCAGATAAGTGGGGATCACTGCATAAGGGTCATTGTACTGGGGGTTAGGACTTCAACCCTGGGGCACACAACTTAACCCTGCTATGGTTTGAATGTGTCGCCTCCAAAATCCAGGTGTTGCTTGTGTGACAGTATTAGGCGGCAGGGCCTTGACAAGGTGATTAGACCCTGAGGGCGCCTGCCTCGTGAATGGGATTGGTGCCCTTATAAGAGGGACTTGAGCAAGGTATTTCATCTCTCTCCCTTTCTGCCTCTGGCTGTGTGAGGGGGACACAGCACTCCTCCCCTCCAGAGGAGCCGTTGGAAGCAGAGAGCAGCCCTCACCACACAGCCGACCTACGGTGCCTTCATCTTGGACTTCCCAGCCTCCAGAACTGTGAGAAAATCCGTTTCTATCCTGTGTAAATTGCCCAGTCTGTGGTGTTTTTGTTTGTTGTTTGTTTGTTTGTTTGTTTGTTTTTTGAGACAGAGTCTCACTCTGTTGCCCAGGGTGGAGTACAGTGGCACAATCTTGGCTCACTGCAACCTCCACCTCCCAGGTTCAAGCGATTCTCCTGCCTCAGCCGCCTGAGTAGCTGGGATGACAGGCGCTCGCCACCATGCCAGGCTAATTTTTGTATTTTTAGTAGAGATGGGGTTTTGCCATGTTGGCCAGGCTGGTCTTGAATTCCCGACCTTAGGTGATCTGCCCACCTCGGTCTCCCAAAGTGCTGGGATTACAGGCGTGAGCCGCTGTGCCCAGCCTTAGTCTGTGGTATTTTGTTATAGCAGCAGAAACTGACTAAGACAAACCCATCATAGACAGCTTTCCTTGGGTTGCCTGAAACCTGCTTCCCTGTGGCTTCTGCTCTCTGGAGCCATCTGGAGCTGCCCTGTTTGCCTCCTCTGCCCCTCTAGGGGCACATGGCCCATGATGGTACAATATGAGTACCACATCTCCCAGTCAAGTTGATTTGTTAATGAACAGGCTACATGACCCAAGCCATGCCAGCAAGAGGCCTCTCCAGGAATTGTACCAGTTCCCTCACGAAAGAATCATCTAGCACTAAAGAAAGGCCCATGTGAGCCTTAAGTACCTGGGAGCCCGCTTACTGGTGTTTTCAAACCTTATTAATTATTGAAAGCCTCTGCTTACCCACCCACCAGCATTGGTACCTGCAACCCACAGGGGTGTTTTCTACTTGCGAGTGACTGTGGACCAGCCCAGCCCGGCCAGCTCAGCAAACCTCAGCACCCAGAGGGCTTGCAGCTGCTCCTTCTCCAAAGAGGTCTGAGTCTCAGCCTGGGGATGGGCTTCCCCTTCCACATTGTTCCTCCCCAGGATACTTTCGTGTAGCCCGAGGGTACTCTTTAGAGATCAGTTTCTACCCTAGTAGTTATTGCCCTGTTATAGCTACTGATGGTTTACACTGAATGTTCCCTTTTCAAATTATTGTGTGGTTTCTGTTTCCTGAATGAACTGTGACTGATACGCCTTACATCCTGAAACCTTGCCACATCCTCTTATTAGTTCTAGTAGTTGTTTTGTAAACCCTGTAATGCTTTCCATTTAAATAATTATGTCATCTGCAAGTAGAGTCAGTTTTACTTCCCTCTTTCGAGTCTTTATGCCTATTAGTTTTCTTGCCATATTGCGATAGTCAGGATCTCCAATACGGTGTTGAATGGAAGAGGTGAGACTGGGCACCCTTGTCTTGTTTCTGATTTTATAAGGAGAATGTTTCAATCATTTGACCATTAAGTACATGAATTCGTAGATAGAAAGTCCCTGCTTAGTTTGCTTTGAGTTTTTAAAAATCACAAATGGTTTTAAAATTTTGTCAAACACTTATATTCATTTTTAAAACAATATGGGTATCTCCTGTATTCTGGAAATATGATGACTTATATTGATTTTCAAATGTTAAACCAACCTTGAATTATTGAAATAAACTTGGTCACTGTATAGTATCCTTTTTCATATTGCTTTATTTGATTTGCTAATATTTAAGTATTTTCACATTTATGTTTATGAGGGATATTGACCTATAGACTTCTTTGCAATATCATCATCATATTATGGTATTAAATAAGTTGAAATGTTCTATTTTCTGAAAGAAGATCTTTTTATTTGTTAGAATTCACCAGTGAAGCCATTTGTGCCAAGAGTTTT